GAGAATAACATCATTTTGTTGCAGAATTATACTTCTTGCTTGGGTTAGTACAAGAGCTCTTACGTGGAGCTGTACACTCCTCATTACTACATGACTTAAGATCAAAATTTGAATTAAATATTACTGATGATGATTAGTCCTAAATCTCAGCTGTAAATTATAAAGTGTAATTAGGACCCAGGAGAAAGGGAACTTAAAATCCGTTTTCATTAGTGGAAAAAGACTGTTTTGTTTAAAAAGTTAAAGTAACAAATTTTGAAACTGATAAAATGAAACACTTTTTAAAAAGCAAACACACCAACAGTGCCAGCTCCTCAATTGGTGTAAACGGGCCCAACTCAATTGATTTCAGTAGAGCTACTCTGATTTACACCAGCTGAGGATCTGGATCAATTTATAATTAACCAGTGGAATTCATTGCCACCAGTCACACTGAAGCGAAATGCTTGATAGAATTCAAAAAAGGACTAGAGTAGGGATGGTCAGCATTTTTTCTTCAAGTTTCAAAATTTCAAACAAAAACAGGAAGAAATTGCAGAAAGGTCTACAAAATCTTTCCTGTTTCTCAACCAGCCCTACAGCTGAGATTTATGTGAATTAGTAAGAATATCTGTAGTATCACCAATTGGGATAAACATTTATAAGAGGTGTCAACACTCATGCTTTGAGACTCCAGTTTCCACCACTAACTACCTGGGGTTAGAAAGAAGCTTCCTCCATAATTGTCCTTTTTTGAGGATTTTGACACTTTCTTCTAAAGCTGTGGTTCTCAAACGTCTGTACTGGTGACCCCTTTCACATAGCAAGCCTCTGAGTGCAACCCCCCTTATAAATTAAAAACACTTTTAAATATATTTAACATCATTATAAATGCTGGAGACAAAGCAGGGTTTGAGGTGGAGACTAACAGCTCATGACCCCCCATGTAATAACCTCACGACCCCCTGAGGGGTCCCGACCCCCAGTTTGAGAACCCCTGCTCTAAAGCATTTGGTACAAGTCACTGTCCGAGAGCATACCAGAGTAGATGGACCATTGTTTGACGCTGTCTGGCAGTCCCTAATTTAAGTTACACAGTAATACACTGAATAATGCACTCTTCCTACTTACCTGCTCCTCCTTCATTCCCAGAAGAAATGATTCAATGGCCTAGATATCAAGTTTGAAATACCTGAGCTCCAACAGTGCATTTGATTCCTGGCAGTGTCATCACAGCCTTTGGCCCATCTAAGCTAGATAAAACTGAGTTCCACGTGTAACGCTGCCTCAAGAATGTGAGGACCAGCCTCAGGGTAGATTGTTAGGAACCAGGGCACAAACCCCAAATTGGCTGTGAATTCTATACTTAGAGTTTGCCAGCCAATTGTCAAGTGTAAACTCCTCAGGTACTATAAGAGCCTAAACATGGAGCCATAGACAGTCACCTTGGTACTCCAATCTGTCTCACCACACAGGTGAGCATACCTTTGTGATAAATCATCCCTTACATCAAGAATCACAGCAATATTCAGGTTACTCCCAGTCCCAAAGGACCAGTCACTTACCCCAGGTCAATGGCACTTTAGATCTCACACCAAAGACAACAATGGTAGCCAATTCAGTAATAAACTATATAGAGATTTGTGAAATAGGAAAAGGAAACAGTTATTTACAAGGTGAAAGCAGGTAAACATATACACACAAATGAGTTACAATCTTAAGTTTCAAAAGGTAATAGAAGCCTCTATGTTCAGCAAGGTCTATATATTCTTTAGGGCTAACCCAGGCTACACAGCTGGGGATCCCTTTCCCTCCCCCCCGCCCCAGACCAAGCAGCATAAAGATACCTAGTTCCTTTTGTTTGGGGTTTTTATCCCCCTTCTGACATGTGCTCTGAGCTGCAAACTCAGCTGATGGGGGACGGCAGGGGAATCAACTTGCATGACTCATCTTCATGGGGGAGTGGGAGGGGGAAGAGCAGAAGAACAAAGTATTTTATCTTCTTAATATCTGGTGTTGATGGACCTTTCCTGTTGGGAAGGATGTAAAACCTTCTGTTGATGAGCAGCCCTTCACACTAATTTAATGTCTCTCTCCTGTCTGGTGATTTACATAGTCACAGAGGCTCACAATACAACCACTCAAATATTGTCTTACAATATGAGATACAGATGTTACAAGTGAGATTAATGCATGCAGCAACTCACATGCATTCAATAAAGTCTAAACACATTCTTATCATTCTAACACCTGGTTTAACAATACTAACACACAGGCGAGCCAAACTGATTCCAGCTATGTATTTGTCAGTGTTCAGTTGAGACATGGGGACTTTGGCATGAGCTGGCACCTGGTCTGCCAGCATCACACCGTGTGGTTTACCAGGTGTGGGGTTTTTGGGTGAGACTTTAAAACTGAGTTCCTGTCTGCTATATGTGGATATTGCAAATCTTATGACACTTTAAAAAAAAAGTAGGGCTTTGACCAATATTCCCTTCTCATCACTGTTGTGCTGTGTGTTGTTTACCTATTATCTTTCACCTAAAGATGGCTACAATTTAATGGGAAAGTGATTCCTGCAAGTGTAAAGTTTGTAAAGCTCCTTTGTGAGGAAATAGGGGCATATAGCATTAGAGGAATATATTAAAAATTAATATAAGACTTTTTATTGTAGCACTGTCTCTTTGGAATGTTCGGCTCCCAAAGCTTCTTATATACAGTGCAGAGCATATGGATTTGAAAAAGATTAAAATACTTTAAACAAGACAGGAATTATTCTGCTCTCAGCTACACTAGTATAATTCACAAGTAACTCTATGTTAGTCAAAAGAAAAACAGGAGGACTTGTGGCACCTTAGAGACTAACAAATTTATTAGAGCATAAGCTTTCGTGGACTACAGCCCACTTCTTCGGATGCATATGTTAGTCAGTTGCACCAGCGTAAAACTTGTGTAAGTTAGATCAGAATCCAGATCAATGTTTCTGGATGCTTTCTTTAATGAAGCAAAAATCCTCCAACTGCAGGATGAGTGGGCAACGGTCTCACTAAATTACTGGAAAAAATAAGGACCTGATTCTGATCTCTCACTGGTGGAACACTACGTTGGTCTTAGACCTGATTTACACTAGAGTAGAATCAGGCTGGTATGTTTTCCCTGTTGCATGGGTAAGAAGAGATCCCTGTATTGCTAGATAACAAGTATGGCATTTGCAATTGCTGTCTTTCATTTTCTTCGTTGAGGGCATGTACCCTGACAGGGATCCTACTTAAGGTCCTGAATCAACAAAGCACTTAAGGACATGCTAAACCAGGGGTCTCAAACACGTGGTCTGCGGAGTTATTTCCTGCGGCCGCCAAGCTCCCCTCCCTTGGCACCCCCCTTCCCCAGCGTGCAGTGTCCCTGCTCCTCTACCTACCTCCAGGCACTTCCCGCCTGTGCTTAGCGCTTTCCAGGAGGGAGGGGGAGGAGCGGGGAGCCGTGCGCTCAGGGGAGGAGGCAGAGAAGAGGTGGGGTAAGGGCAGGGATTTGGGGAAGGGGTTGGAATAGGGGCAGGGAGGAGGCGGAATTCGGGAAGGGACTTTGGGGAAGAGGTTGAAATGGGGGCAGGGAAGGGGTGGGAAGAGGTGGGGCGGGGCCTCATGGAAGGCGTGGAGTGGGGGGGGGCGGAGCCGGGGGCAGTGTGTGTGTGTGTGTGTGTCAGTGATGCGGCCCTCGGGCCAATGTACTAGTCCTCATGTGGCCCTCGTAGTCATTTGAGTGCTAAACCATGAATGTTCACATTGACTTTCCACTAGTTTTGCTAAATCAAGGCCTAAATGAATAGCTCTTCTGTGACAAAAAATAGAAATCCCTATTACAAAGCATTGGTCCAGCTGTCTTCATTGCAGCGCAGGCTCATGTAAGCATTGGAAAGCTGGAGTTTCAGCATTACTACTATCTTTTAAAGCTGAAGGCAGCATAATATTGTTTGTTGCTCTCTCTACAACTAATTTTTGCTTCATTAAAGAATGCATCGAGGGACATTGATCCAGATTCTGGTCTCACTTACACCAGTTTTACAGTGGTGTAATTCTGACTACAGTGGAGATTTATCTGTTTTTTTTATTCTTTTCCTTTAGTGTGACTGTCCATCTGTTTCAAAACAGCACATTTGTATAGATCTTGCACACACAATGATCAGGGCATTTATACTGTTTCAAGCATCAAGAAATCCCCTGCTAGCTTAATTATATCCAAAATAAAACTTCATCAAGGGCACTTGACTGTACCCCTCATTTGTCAGCCTGAAAAACAAACTTGTAGAATGCTTGAAAAATGTCTCAAGGAATATGAATATAATCCCTGGTCTGTGAAAATCCTGTAGTTTGCCTCTGATCTCAATACTTGAAATGTACATGCATATTTGCAACACTTCACACTTTTGAAACATTGGCATTTCATATGTCTTGTCTGTGAAGCAAGAGTGAGTGTATTGTTATGCAGACAGTAAACTGTGATTTGCAAATTCTCTAGCACTAGATCCTTCACAGGCACAGCTCAGAATGAAGGCCAACGTCTGTTTTTATATCAGCTAAAAATGTTCACTGATATTGCACAGAAGTGGGCATTTTTTTACACTGTTCCTTTAAAAAAAAGTTGTAATTTGCTTTTTATTTCAGGTGAGGGGCTTAATGGTAAGATAACACGCCCTTGAAAGGGCAGTACTACCATCCTTCTGTTTTAAATTCAAAAGAGCAATACATTGTGGCTCAATTTCATCATTGGATGTATGTCTGGTTTGAATCAGTGGGAACCCTACACATGCATCCAAGGGCAGAACTTGCCATATTATAAAGAGAGACAGAAATTGCGGACATGGGGGCAAGGGAGACAAATGACCCTCAAACCAAAATGCACAGCTGCAACCAAGCCTGTTTATTATTTTCTCCTCTATCCACGCAGTGTGCACACATATGTAACTGGACCTGGTGCGGCAGGAACAGGAAAGTTAAATAGGTTGTTTTCCTTTCTCTCTGCAGATGGAAAAATGAACAAAGTCAAATGGATTTTCACGTGGCCATTGCTATTCCTGCTCTTTTGTACCATTCCAAACTGCAGCAAACCCCGCTGGGAGAACTTTTTTATGCTGACATTCATTTTATCCACTTTGTGGATTGCTTTGTTCTCCTATTTTATGGTGTGGATGGTAAGTGGATGCAACAAAAACCTTGTTTTAAGAAATGAAATGTACAGGCCAGATGACGAACGTCTTCAACTCCAATCCCAGTTTGTTTTAGGGGAAGAAGAACGTAACCACATTGGGATGTGTGCCGTCTATTAGTTATTCTAATATCTGACCTATGTGCTAGTCTCTCTTCTGGACAGTACTTTTGGACCATATTTTTAAAGATAGGCACTTAAAGATGCAGATTGGGGCCTGGTGTGATTTTTTTCAAAAGTTCCTCAGTGCCTAGTTCCTAATATTGGGAGTTAGGGCGTAGGTGCTCTTGAAAATCCCACTAGGTGCCTATCTGTGTCTTTAGGCACCTAATACTTTTAAAAATATAGCCCGAAGGCCTGATCCTGAAATATACTCACACAGTAACTCAGGTGAGTAGTAAGGGTTGCAGGATCAGATACAGTGTAAAATGCTTTGGGTGGAATGGACTATATTAGTCGCAAGTATTATTCTCCTTCTTAATAAGAGTGCCATAGAGGTTACCCATAAATCTTTTCAGTTGCTCTTAACATGTGCAAAAATGTAGGCTCCGATGAAGATATATCAGGTATGATCCATTCATAAACACTCTTACTTTAAACGCTAGTCCAGGTGATTCACTCTTAGTTTCTCTGTTTTTATAGCTTAAATGTATATTTTCACTCAGAAGAGACATGAATAGTAAAGTAGCTCAAATTAGACTCTTTGTAATTAAAAAAATATTTTTGGAAGTTTAAAAAGGCATCTTTTTTCTATTCAAAGAGAGGCAAAGCTAATGAGAAGTTATGTTAGTACTGCTGAAGGACTGGTAGGTCAATGGTAGGGTAGGTAAAGCCTTCACATGCCTATATTTTCCTCAATTAAAAATCAGTAAAATGAAAAAATCTAACTCTTTCATAATATGTACCCTGGAAAATGAAATATGTAACAGTTTCATGTGACCTTTTGGAAGCATCTTCATTTACGAGCAGCTGATCTTCATAACTCGCTTGAGGCTTGTGAGTTGTATGACACAGCTTTACTTGTCTGGGATACATACTGATAGCTCTGTCAGTATATTAGACATTTGGGGATTATTTTATTTTTCCATTTTCACTTGGATACAGTATTTTCCCTTAAGTTAGTATTTAAAGTATTATATTTTAAAATAAAACCCTCTTCCCCTGATTTTATAATATGTAACAAAAACTGTTTGAAAGATTCATATTCCAACAATTCATTCTTGCTGATGTACCACATTGCCACAACTTCATAGCATCTGTACTTCAGTAAGACCATGCTCTCTATCCTGGTTCCACTTTCAGAACTTCTGTTGAAAACAGTGGGAGTTTTGTGGAAAGACCAAAAGTAGGATGTGTTCAGAGATGCTGTAACAGTGTCTCTGATCTCTTTCAAGATGCGTCAATGCCTCAATGTCCCCATGGTTACTTGCCCTCTCAATGGGAAAATGTTTTAGTGATCGGATAACTTAATATAATCCTCTGGCTAAGTTAGAAAAAAGACTCCATCCTTCTGGGGTAACCACAACTCTTAACGAAAAAAAGAGTTCAAGCAAACACTTTTGGCTTCTGGGCCACTGCCTGCTTTAAGAGTCAGTGGGAATTCTTCCCCTTGGCTGCAGGGGTTCCAAAAAGAGCCCCTTGATTGCACGGATCTACAAATAGACTTTTCTTATAGGAGTGCCAGCACAATACTTCAAGGTGGCAGCACTGAGGTTTATGGGAATCCATGCCACCCTTTCTACCCAGGCTCCAGCCATAATCCCCTGAGCAATGAAGTAGCTGCCTGCTCCAGTCTCAAATGTTCTGGCTTCACTCTTACTCTTCCCACAGGCTACTTCCTAGGCTTGCTTAGGTGGCTGGCTATTAAGCCTTCTTTCTGGCCCCTTTTTCAGGATTTTAACACCCCCCCCCCTCTTGAGACCCTTCCTCCCATCCTTACTGGGATCCCCATTGCAGGCTGCTGTCTCTCCCGAGGCTCTTCCAAAGCTGCATCTGGGCCATTTGTCTAGAGAGACTCATGTTCTGTTCCCTTCAGGAGTGTCTCTGTTAGGACCCTCAGAACAGGTCTCACCTCTTCCCAAGCCATTCTCTTACTATGGCAAAGGGAGCTCTTTTATAGTTCTTCCCTCTTCCCAGCCTGCATTGCTGCCAACTTTACAGCTACCTTCAGGCCTGGGAACCACCCAGCATTCCATTGTTCCAGGCAGAACATAAGAACAGACTGTGCTGGTCTGTAAGCGCCCTTAAGGGGCCAGCGCATCCTGTTACAAATGTATAAAGTGGAGCACTTTAAATGGCTTTCATAAAACCCTTAAGACTGTGCCTACAAGTACTTATTGTTCCCTAGTAGGAGGTTTTTAGTCAGATTGTTGCTACGATTTTGTTTCCTTATAGAAATGTGTGTGTGTGTGTTTAACTGTCATAACGGCCCCATCCAGAAATTAAAGTGAAGAGTGAATCACAATTGTATTGGAAACAGAGTTTCAGAATAAGAGACTTCCCAATTATTTTAAATGGCTGTTTTTGCTTACTCTGCAGGTTACTATAATTGGATACACTCTGGGGATCCCTGATGTTATCATGGGCATTACTTTCCTAGCTGCAGGAACGAGTGTACCAGACTGCATGGCCAGCTTAATAGTAGCAAGACAAGGTATTATTTCTGTTCAAGTGTTCCAACAATTTCATGCTTTGCTCCTGTAATATGCAGTTTTTTCAAACTGTTGTTTGAATTATGATAGCACCTAGGAGCCCCAGGCATGGACCAGGGCCCCACTCTGCTTGGTGCTGTAAAAAAAAAATGGTTCCCACCCTGTTACATCTCTGGTTACGAGTATGGGCCATTTATTACATCCAAGAGGCGTGGAGCATCAGGAGAAATCGCATAATGTTCTGGCAGTTCATTCAGCAACCAAACCTCACATATGCAGCATAGATCAGTCAGATTAGACAGATGTAACATACACATGAGCTACACTAGAAAAGATCAGCCATAAAAATAGGATTGTACACCAAAAAGGTGCATAGAAAAAGGGTTTGCTTTTTGGATCATGTCCTAAGTGCTGCATGTAAAACTTGCATTGATTTCAGATTAAGTTGATGGGGAAAGATATTGGGGGGGAAAAGGCACAACAAAAGTTAACTTGCTTCAAACCTATTCCTTGTCCAACTAGAGACAGCCAGCATCTTCCTTTTGGCTCTATGAATATTAACACTGAGTAGGGAAAGATTAACCCTAACTATGTCTAGTTTAACTTTCCTATTTAAAAGGCCAAAGATTTTTCCAACTCATATTTACATGGCTGAGCTTTTGATTTTTTTTTTAAAAGCTTTCCTTTTTTACATGAGAAATATTTATGGACACATCCTTTACCATTTTTGCTTAAAACAAGAATGAGTGTGTTCATTTGTATCACACTGAGAAAGGAGCAGATAGTAATAATAGCATTTTGCAGTATTCCAGCTCCTACAGCCCTTAATGCCAAAGGATGGCTCTTTGTTCTCCAGGCTGCATACAGGCTTCAAAAATTCTGAAGTCCTAAACTAGCCACCAGGAGCCAGTAGAGACCCGCATCTGTATGATGTGAACAGCATAAACATATTTAAAATGTTTCATTTGTAACTGTAAGAGCTATACATTTCACACAGTCTGTTTTTAAATGTTTTGGCTATGCCTAACAAAAAAGAATCGTATATTAAAAATCATCCATTCTCCACTTCATATTAGGAATTACATGCAGGAAAATCTCACAAAAATAGATCAGCTGTGTTAAGAACTGTTCTGGGACACTTCCCATTAAAATTGGTTTCTTCCATGTATGATATTAGAGTCAGTAGATCTGTAGAGGAAATACAGGGGGAAAAGTGCTAAAATGATCAGTGTAATGCCTTCATAATGCTTGAACGTGTACAGAAAATAAATGCTATCATACTTTATCTCTGTTCACTAGAGTTTCTACCTTAAGTTTAACTCAAAATGTTAAATGAGTAATCAATGAGGAAAAAAGATATCTGCTTCATTTAATTATTCCACAGTCCAGTTAATATTCTATTTTTATCTTACTATTGATTTCTGTGGGCCAAATCTTTGCAATAGAATATCGTCACATATCAGGCAACAACCTGGTCAAGATTACTTGCTATGAGAGTACAGGCAAGGAACAGCGTGGTGAAGTGGTAGATGGAGAATCCCCAATTCTCCCATGTAACATGTGCGGGCCATGCGTGGCACTTTAGTAAAGGGTTTCCCAAAAGGCAAATGCAGGTGTACCCTGACAGTGAAGGGAAGCTGCAAGAGATGTTGCCATAAACACAAATCCCGAGGATATCCCAGGGATGGACAGTCTGCGCTACTGACCGTGTCCCACTGTGTCAGGCCAGGCCTTGGGAGCAGACGTCGTGCATGTGATCCAGCTGAAGGTCTCTCATGGCCTTGAAAGTTCCTCCACAAAGCTGATCTTATTTGAAGGGCACTTTCCAACAATATTAGATCTTTTCCTCCTTCCTGGCACGTTTTGTGGATTTGGCAGTAGCACAGATAGCTAAGCAGGTACTTGAGAGAGAAACAAATCGGGGTGAGCACTCCGGCCACCATTATTATTGTATCAAAATCAGACACCAGCTAATATTGAGCACAGGAGACAGAGATTCAGTAAGAACAAGGTTCTGGTGACCTTACCACCCACTCACACTTTGTTCTCCTATTTTATTATTGTTTGGGGTTGTTTTTAAAAAATGAAATTTCTAAAATGAACTTGATGCTCACACACATAAGGGCCCAATCCTGCTCAGTGCTGACTGTCCTCAGCTCCCACGCTGCTCAGCACCTTTCACTGTCACCTTTCAGATTAACTAGAGCCCACGTCCCCAGAGCACATCCCAAGAGATGAAGACAGACCACACACAGCTTCTTACAATGAAGCTCCTGGCCAGCTGTGCCCTGAAACTACAGAGAAAACAGGACAAAGCTTATCAACCTGTTTTTTTAATTAACTTCAAACTCAAACACCAATTTCTACTCACCCATCAAGGATGATACATGCACAAAGTATATTGGTTGTGAGCATTTTTTTATTTTAAAAGGTTATGTAAATGTTACGCAAATTATATATTGATCTTAGGTACTTGGCAAATTGCCCACGTGGGGATTGCAGGAGTGCTTAGTTAGCTAATTTTAAAGTGTCATCTTACATTGCAAAGCTGCTCAACAGTCATTCTCTCTCTCTCTCTCTCTCTCCCTCCTCCTCAGCCTTGTTACAGAATGTTTGTCCTGTGTGTTGTTTTGACCTGAGAATTATTGTTTGTTTGTTTTTGTTTCCCAGGTCTTGGTGATATGGCAGTATCCAATACAATAGGGAGCAATGTATTTGACATTTTAGTAGGCCTTGGAGTACCATGGGGCATGCAAACTATGTTGATTGATTATGGATCAGTGGTACGTATATATATATATATATTATTTTTTTTTAATTGTTTAATTGTTTAATTTTTGTTTTTGTGTGTTTTGTTTTCAGAAGAAAACATTGTAAAAATGCTGAGCATTTTTATTAGTAGTTAAATAAGACATGAGGTTATTTCCTAGCCAAAGAACAGGGAGACGTGCGAACAATTTTCCTGTCACAAGATGCAGTTAATTCCCATTGCTTTCAATGTGAGTTAATTGTATTGGGTGGCAGGAGAATATGAGCAATTGGGTCTATTCCTGGCTCTACTATTGTCTGACTGTGCAACTCTGAGCAAATCTCTTTGGCTCTCCATGTCTCAGTTTACCTGTTTGTAAAATGAGGATAATAAGGCTTACTCTCCTTGAGAGTTATTGACCAAAGGCAATATGCAAGTGCTGAGGGGTTTTAGTTAAGCAAAACTGATTATTTACGTATTTGTTCTGATTCTTTTAAACATGCTGTTATCCCATTATTGTAATTTTTGCCATGAATTAAACATCTATGTCATTTAAAAATTGTAAATGGGGGCTTGTCAATACAGTGAAGCAATGAGCACTAAGCGATGTGATTTCTAAAGTGCACTAACATGTTGCACATTAATTGGGCCATGTAGACCCCTAGTGCACTTTAATGTAGTGCAGGCACACTAGAAAGCCTTTAGTGCACCTGAGCAGGGTCAACGCGGGCCAATTAATGCACAACATAATAGTGCGCTTTAGAAATCACACCCCTGTAGAGTGCAGTACCCCGTCATGTAGACAAGCCTTTCATTTTAAATTTTAGACATTACTTTAAAATAGAATAGAGAATGTTCTAAGTCAAGAGGCAGTTAACTTTCTATTGCAATTACTATGTCCTAAACATTTTAAAGTTCTCTTTTATGTCTAATTTTCACAGGTTAAGATAAATAGCAAGGGACTGGTCTATTCGGTTGTGCTTCTGCTGGGGTCTGTAGCTCTTACTGTAAGTATTTCTGTGGTTTAAAATATGACTCTGTTGAGTATTCACTTCATGTCATAATTTGATACATGTATTTACTTTGCATGTAGAAGTAGGCGAAACTGGAAGTACTTACCATTCTGACTAGCATTTGTTCATATAGAACTTTATCTAGCAACCAGTGACATCAGTGGGCATTAAATCAGGCTCTCAGCACCCAATGGGGCACTGAGGACCTTCAATTCCCATTTATTTCAGTGAGAACTGAGGACCTCGGCTCCCAGGAGGAGCAAACTAAGTACCTCTCAGGACTGGGCCTTTATTTTGTAACAAAGGGCCTGGTAAGTGAAACATTGATTTGGGTCTAAAGTCAGTTCCAATGCATCTAGGGCCTGCACTGGAATGCATTGAAGTCAGTGGCAAAACTCCCATTGAGCCCAGTGTGGGCAGAACCAGACTCTGAAAGTGTAAATATCCATCCTCATTAACACTTCGCTAACAGTGTTTCTCAAACTGTAGACTCTCAGCAGAGACTACATAGAGAATGTGGTCATCACCATAGACCTCACATTTCTGCATCATGTCTGTAGCTTACCAATGCGTTGTACCAATGACACACTAAATTTGGTGGTAGGATGACCAGTATTGCAAAAATCAGACCCTAGTCAGTATACAATTAACTTGCCAATGCATCTCACAAGTGACATGTATGGACATAATCTCTTTCCAGCCCAGCCCTCAGTAGACACCATCACTGGTATTTATTTTTGCCACACTGGGAAGCAAATGTCCAAGTAATATCTTAAAAGACAACAGTTGTGTTGTATTGTGTCATAAATCTCCCCCCCACCCACCCACCCAGTTGTCCAGCAGTTTGGCAAGATATGGGAAGGTTAGCTAAATGTTATCATCAAAGGTGTCCACAGGGCATTGAGGGGCAGAATGACCAGGCTTCTGACACAGCTGAAGCAGTGTCATCTGAATGGAAAAGCTTCTGAACACTCCCATTACTCTCTCACTAAATGTGAGCCTAAATGTGGATTTAGGGGCCTAACTTTAGACCAGTCACCCAGGTTTTGGAAATGTTGGCCAATGTCTTTGCACAATACAATTTGAGTGGCATATATTTTGGCAAACTGTCTGTATGAAGGAACAAGCCATCTAACTCTCATTACTTCTGACCGCCTTTGATACTATGTTCTCTGCTTCTCTGCAGCTGTTGAAAGAAGTAACGTTCTGTAAGGGCCAATGTTCCAGAGACCACAGTAGATCTAGGGGGCAGCACTGAAGGTTCTTTTACCTGATAATTTAGGCTGTACTGAAGCAATTAATGGGAGCTGCATGACTCCGAGTATGTTGAAACTATACACTTATGGACCTGATTCTCAGTTACATTAAGAGCTCTTCGCTGAGCTCAGACCCTGTGAAGGGTTCTGAAAATATACCACTCACTTGCGGTACATCTATGCTGCAGCATGTGTAAACATACCTATGCTAGCTGTGATCAATTGTCATGCTAAAAAATAACAGTGCAGCCACAGCAGTGCAGATGGCAGCATGGACTAACTGCCTGAATGTTACCTAGGACAGAGACAGCGCTATTCCTACCTAGGGCTCCCAATGGGCTAGCACCACCTCTGACCTAGCATCTCAGACCGCTAGCCTGTGCCACCACCTGCACTGCCATGGCTACACTGCTGTTTTTAGCAAGCAAGCTTGATCAAAGCTAGTGCTCATATGTCTGTCCAAGGATACCTCCAGTTGCAATGTAGACGTACCCTAAGTTACACCCACTTAAAGGCCGCTTTATATGTTCCAGCAGTGTAAAGAGGCCTTAATATAGCTGAGAATTAAGCCCTCATGTTTAACTCGATCAGTTATGTGCCTTATCTCTATCTGAAAAAATGAACACTGTAAAATACCAAGACTGCATTTTTAGCATGTTTAAGGACAGCAGATTCAAATAGACCTCATTTGAAGCTTGTAGCATTCGTGTCCTTTGAGATTCCATTAACTAACACTTTGTATACTTGCAGGTGGGTGGAATCCATGTAAATAAATGGAAACTTGACAAGAAACTAGGCTTCTACGTGCTGTTTCTTTATGCCATTTTCCTGTGTTTCTCTGTATTGATAGAGTTTAATGTCTTCACCTTTGTCAACTTTCCAATGTGCCGAGAAGATCTTTAAAACAAGCCACAACCGTGAGAGGGGCTGACATACTCTTGATTCCTTGTGCTATAAATGATAGGAGACATTTTACATTTCTACCTTCTCATCAGTCATCTGATTTTCTTTCCTGCTTTGTCATCCAACAAGCACTTTTACTTACCTGGAAGGAAAACAAACCTTTCTTTTAACATGCTAGCTCAAGGCAACCAAAGCATTTTCCTCTTTGGGTATTGCTGCTCAGCCATCCAACTTGTGGATCTCATGCAGAGCACTCAAAAGTCCGATTTTCGTGGTGTTCTGCTGTGGTTTTCATTCTCCTTATGCAGACAGTAATGCACCACAGTCAATCGGAACAAGACTAGAAAAAACTCTCCTCTCTCTTTTTTTGACATTTATTGTCCATGGAAGAAGAAGAGACTGGCTCAGAACTTTTCTTGACTCCATTAAAGCATCGGAGCTACAGGACCAGAAAGTCCGATGCACATAATATGGCATGCACTGTTGTGGACATATGTTTTTCCCCTTCAAGTGCTCTGTTTATAGAGGAACTGCATTGACATTTATAAGCCTTTGTTGTGTGATTTCTGAATATTTAATCACTCTCTTTTTTAAAAAAATGTGAAGAACACATGAACAATTTTACAGAGAAAGAAGAGAAAATGGTTAATATCGTATCACTTTTGATGATGCACACTAAGAGTAATAGAATCTGAAATCTTCAAAAGAGAAATATGTGCAAAATATTCATACTTGAAAAATGTGTTTTACCATCAACAAGGAATATTGTACAAATATAAACTAACATTTGTGGAATATTAAAGCCGGTAAGTAACATTTTGCATTGGTACTAGTAAGCCCACTTGTAATTTTACAAGAAACTAAAAGATTAATGCCATGGGGCGCTCAGTTTCTAGTGGCAATTGTTATCTGAAAAATAGAACATGAACACATTCCAGACCTTCTTGCAATATGATGCATCAGGGATTTGGGGGGGAATTTATTTCATTATTAGTATATTAATCTAGAAGCTGCTGCATCTTCTCCATTTTGTTTTGTTTTTGTTTGTAACCACAAACTTAATAGAGATGGGTACCCAACACTAAGTAGTGTAGATAATAAACAACTCTAACAAGATCAAGTCTGTCATGGGAACTATCTCCTTGATCAGATTGTATGCAGGAAGTTTTAAAGCATGTCTTATTTTAGAGCCAAATTATTTTAAACGCACAGAACCAGATTTTGATTTTCTTTGCACCTGTATAAATCTAGATTAAAACAGTAACTCTGAATTTTCCTGGGCATAACTGAGAACAGAATCTGGTCCAGAATAATGAGTAACATTACCAAAACTGTGTAATGTCACAGTTTGAAGTGGAGTTACAAAGAAGATTCATCAAAAGAATTTAATATATTTTGAAACTGCTACTTAACTCTAAAATGTATTTTAAAGTTGTATATGAACAAAACATATAAGGTTTCTAAAGAAGCACAATTAACTTTATACATAGATTTATTTTTATTTTTTTAATGTTTATATAGCAAAACATCTATCAGATTACTAAAGATTTCATGCATTTTAAATGCATTAATATTTTGCACTTAAGATTATATATCAAGATGCCCATTATTTGTCAACAAAAATACTTTAAATCCTTAGGAAATAAAATTGATTAGAGAGGTTCCTTTACATATATTAAATTTATCTGACTAATATGTGACCAATAATTCCTTTCGAAGCAAAGTTGCATGCACAACCTTAATTACCCCAGGCAATGTGTTATAATTAAGGCTATTTTTTGATGTGTATGGGGGTACCAATTAATGAATGTATTTTGCTGTTGAATTTTAATAGGAATAGGATCCTTTCAACACAGTCCTAAAGAAAAAGGGCAACATATCTGTTATTTGTCTTACTGTTCTTTGTTACAAATGTCAGTATTAGTAACCAAGCTAAGTTTTTGAGTTTTCCCCCTCACTCAAGTGGTTGAACTCACCAATCCTAAAGATGGCAACAAATGGCATTTGATTAAGAGGCTTTATCAAATAGGCAAGTGTGACCAGTATGTGTAAGTCACTGGGATGCAAATGTAATGGCATTTAAAATACCTTCACTGTGGTTTAACATGGAAAGAGGTGGAATCCATGCACACCTGTGTTATACTTATAATATAATATATGGAGATATACCTATCTCCTAGAACTGGAAGGGACCCTGAAAGGTCATTGAGTCCAGCCCTCTGCCTTCACTAGCAGGACCAAGTACTGATTTTGTCCCAGATCCCTAAGTGGCCCCCTCAAAGATTGAACTCACAACCCTGGGTTTAGCAGCCCAATGCTCAAACCACTGAGCTATCCCTCCCCCCCCCCACACTCCCTGTTTTTTTTTTTCTTTTTTTTTTTTTTTTTTTTTTAATTTTTAATTGTAGAAAGGCTGTAAGCCAGGGCTAGATTGTGCCTCCAGGATACAGCTCCTGCCCCTTTTTCTTCCTTCCATTCCAGGAGAATAATTGTCCTGTTCTGGTAGTAATTTATTATGCCCCTTATATTGGCTGGTATGGGCTGGCTGGCATGGGAGAGCGGAGTCAAGGCTCCATTCACTCCCCACCTACTTACTGCTGGGTGGGTAGTGGGAAGTAGCAAGCTCACAGCACCCTCTCATATTCAGACCCAACTCCTAGGTAGCCCATGGTGGGGCATAATGGGGATTCCTAAACTACAGGAGCATGGTCCAAGTTACAATCTAGGCCCTACTGATCAGCTGAGGCATCAGCGATTTGTGCAGCAACAAGTTACACCATTTTACACATTTATGGGATCAAAGACAGAAAAACAGATTGGATCTGGATATTTCAGAGCCAAGCAAGCCTCAAAAGACTAAAGATCTTGTGCTGGTTACCTGGCAGCCAGTCGTAAACACGCTGCGCAGCCAGGCATGGAATTATTGCATGTGTTAATATGGATTAGAATTACGCTGCCTAAAAGGATGCTGTTATCATGGTTGAGTTAACCCATTCTACAGCTACCTGTTATATTTTATCCTAACCAGAGATTGTCCCAAAACAAAACGTTCGACCCAAATTTCATAGGTTGGTCCCATCTCTATAATGGGCCCAACCAGAATACTGACCCATTTCTTCCGCCCTTCAATTTGGAGGATATTTGGATTCTGAATCAATTCTGACTCTGAACCCCAGGGCTCAGCCTCATGTCTAGCATTTATAATATTACAGATAACCTACCATGCTTACCAGAAATAATTATTGATAAAAGTCTCGTCTAACGGGACCAGGTGAGCAGGGATATATACTTTGCCAAAGAAGTATTATGCGCTGTATCAGGGCCTTGATGAAAAATTGTCATGTAAATTAGTTTACTCTGAAGATTTCTCTCTATACATTTTATCCATATACAAAAATAAAGAAAGAAATCAATATAATCCAAGCCATGCAGATAAACTGAGCGGCCTGAGAAAAATTGTTTTGCTGGTCAGGAGCCGCTTGTTTTATACTGTCTAAATATCTTCAAGATAATATATATCATACCAATAATATTATACTTGTGCCTTCTGAATGTAAAAAAAATCACTCATATGGTCTGAAAAACATGACACATTTGGAAGCTTTCCAGTAAAAAACAAAAGCAGGGATTCATGTTTGCCTCCCTGAAATTGGCAAAATTATAAATCACATCTGTTCACATTGTGTATGTAAAAATCTGCATCTGTTTGTTCTATTAATCATGACACAGAGTTAGCTAGCGGAGCCTGGAATTTGTTGTGTTTTTGCATAATATAGCTAATGTTTAGTGCATGAGTGAAAAGAAAACTGGTGGATGTGAGAGGGGAAACTGTTAATGTGATACAAAAGTTGCCAAGAAAATAGCATTGAAAAATGGTACTACTCCAGAAAAAAATATTCTCAATCCAGCAAAGCTTAACTTCAACAAAACTGGTCACATGCTTAAAGTTAAGCAAGTGTTTAAGTGCCTTGCTGAATTGGGCCTAAATAAACAACAGCTCCTGGTCTCTGGGTTTTGTATCACTTTCATTTCCTTTCCATCTCCTATTTTGTAGACTCCCTGAAACAAAAAGCTTGGGCCAGAATCTACTGTTACACTGCAGAAGTCACTGTGGATTTACATTGCTGTAAATGACAGAACTTGCTCCCTCCCCCTTGTTGTTAAAACGCATGACAAATTGTGCACCTTTCTAAATGTTTCACAATCTACAATACATGAAAAGTCATTTGTCTTCAGTGGAGCAGGCTGTAAGGAAAGGAGTTACCCCCCAAATACAGTAAACTATCAATGAAAAGGGAAGGAAAGCAGACTGAGGAGGTGTTGACTGCAGAACAGTTCCTTTCCGCTACAACTCCTTCAAAGTAGCACAGTGACATGTCATAGGATGAACTGCCCCAGTGAAATCAATGGGCGTTTTGTCCTTGACTTCAGTAGGGCTAGGAATTCACACATATACTGTAGTGTTTACGATATAAAGTTTTATAACTTAGGGCCTGTTTCTGCAGTGGGAATCTCCATCCCAAGCTCCCACTGATTTTACTGGGAGTATTACCTGGATCAGGCCCTGAATTGTTTAATCTAAACTAACCTAAGAGCTAGCTTTAGGCTGATTGTGACTATTTGATGATCTGAGCGCTGCTCTTTGATTGCAATCCAACCTGGAAGAACACGTGAGTCTTCCCCCATGTTCAGCAGAGTGGCCATTTTCCTCTCAGCTCAGTCATTATTAGTGTGCCAATTTTATTTTATTTATTTATATATAGTTTTATTGGTTTGGGTTTTATTTATTAAGGATCATGTTCATATTTAAGAGAAAACACCACATTTTTCCTAGTGTTATTTTTACACTCTAATTATACAGAATTTCCATTCCTATCATTGAATTCCTTTGTGAATGTGCTTAAAATTCATGCACTTGTTTCAATTTCTTCTTCACATGTTTTGTTCTAGTTACACAAGTTTCTCACCTGTTAGTTTTGTCATTTTCCATCGCAAGGCTCATTCCTGGGTTGATTGAAATGGTATGTCATGTATTTGTAACCTGGGTAGGTGTTCTCAGTGGAGTTTATAAGCACTGCCTGGCAAGGAAAACCTCTGAGCTTCTTGTGTAGTTTAAGGCAAACACTGAATGAAATGTATACCCAGGTGAAACCAAAGAATTTTGCTATTAAATAATCCAGCACCTTGAGACATAAAATTCTGTAGTAGCAGGCTTAATATCTTAATAGCTAGCTTGAGTGTGTCTGCATGAGCTAACTAACATGTGTTCAGACACTAAAAAGAAATTTAAAAATTTGTACATGAGTACTTAATATATATTGTCCTTTTCATTTCCTTAAACTGGAGCTCTAACTTGTTCTAAATGTGCAGGGTGGCAGGATTGATGTTAGCTAACTGCAGGCTTCCTAAGGAATTTAGTTCCAACAGTCCTGCACCAAAACCAGTTTTCAGCTTTTTTGAAAAACTGTGTACCCAAGTGATCAATGCTCCATTTGAAAAGAAAAGAAAAATTGCCATTCAAATAAGCCAAAGTGTACATTATAATTTCTAACCTACCATCGCTAAAATTGTTATCTAGAGCAAAATATGCACATATTAAAAAACTTTCCAATGGGGGCATCTTGAACCTGCATTTATCTGTTTCCAGTAGCTTTTACTGTACTGGCCTCATCATAGTACCCATGGCAGAACACAGTGCACCAATGTGTGGAGTCCTGAAGCTTTTTTCCAGGGAAAACAGTAAGGTCCTGCACATCTGTGCATCAAAACTGGTGGTATGTGTATCACCCACTACACTCGCTCAAATGGGTGATGAACATGGCAATTCATGTACCACATGTTCTGCATGTTACCATACTTCCGAAATGCAAATAATAATAATACTGTCTGAAAGAAGCAAATGGTAAACTAGTGTCGTTTTCATATTACCTTAAAGGCAATTGCTGGTAAGTAATTAAGCATGTTTCTTTTTATTTCTGCACAAAGAATGTATGCAATCTTAGGTCTGTTGATCTTTGAGATGATCTTGGTAAACTTGAAAGGCAAATGTGGAGGTTGATGTATAGTAAGCGTATGTAAAGATATCAGAATGTATCAGAATCAGACAGGAAGCCTCCAAAAAATCTATCCCCTGAGCCTCTTCTTTTCAGAGGATTGTTGCAGCAAGATTGTACCCATTATTCATATACTATTTCTGCATGCAAAGAAATAAACCTGCTAACATGGCAGCAGTTATGTTCAAAATGGCTCAAATTGTGCAACAAAGCTATGACCAAATTCCTGCCCTCACTTACTCTGGATTTACACATGTGAAACTACTGTAATGTCCATGGAGTTAGTTCAGGGTTACACCAGTGTATCCAAGGGCATAATTTGGCTCCCACTGTCTTCTCTGTTGCCAGAAACTCTTTGGCATCATTTGTGAACACTGAAGGTACGTCTACAGTGCAGGCATGGGGTGTGGTTTCAGTTCCTGTAGATACACATGAGCTAGCTTTAATCTAGCTAGCTCACGTACTGGAGCAATGAAAATGCACCAGTGCACACTTCAGTGGAGGCTAGCTCTCTGTCATTTACCCACGGTTCTGGGTGGGCTTGTATAGCCCATGCTGAAGCATGCGCTGCCCCCGGCTTCACTGCACTGGTGCCTGAACTAGCTAGATTAAAGCTAGCTTGGGTGTGTCTGCATGAGCTGCAATCACACCCTGTGACTGCAATGTAGATATACCATGAAATAACTTCTGATCCTGTTAAATTTCCCTTTATTTCACACTTGCAGGCATTTACAATGCACCCCCCAGAGGTGCAGTACCTCTTTAATACTATGACACATTTCTTGAGCTGCTCAGTTTGAAATCAAAGTGACAACTTTGTAAACTGTAAATAGCACAAATCTATTTATCACGTTATTTATTTTTTCAATGACTGTGACCTTATGCACTGTGATATGGGGTCCTTTGTACAGAGATGTATGTCATGAAAATCAAATGGAATTAATGTGATAATTTGTTACAAAATGTTGGCATGGTATTTGATTATTTTTATTGTGAAAATTTTAAAAGATAGTTAAAATGAACTATACATTTATAAAGAACCTAGCAGTCAGTATTGTAATGTACTATATATCAACATGTACACTGTCAATAAAATGCATAAGAACACCTTGAGTGTTGCTCTCCTGTTCTCTGGAACACACGGTATGAAAATAAGTGAAACAC